AAAAACGAGGTTGACTTGTAGAATTTTTCCAAAAAATCATGACTTTTGGTTTGTTCATTGAAAAGAGTAATCCAGTTATTATTTGTTTAATCTTTTCTTTGAATTTTCCAAATTCTTGGCTATCTAGCTTAGACAAGCATGGCTGATCTCGTTCTTCTGCTTATTGTCTTTTCTCAAATTAACTCACGCGATTCCGTTGAGACTGGAACTTGTGAACTTGAAAATGATTTGACCTAGTAGTTGTAAGGCCTTGCGTACTGTCATGATCAGCAACATATTCAAAAAACAAAATCAGAACCTGTTTTCGGAAGAAAATAGAGTTGTCTGCGAAGCATTCGCCAAATCCGAAAGGTAAAAAAGGTGCACACCTGTATTGGTTACGAAGTGCCGTTTCTCAATAAAATTCCAAGACTATGAATCGATCATAAAAGAGTTGGACAGTTTCAAATTCAATACTCAACTAATCTATGACCGAAGTGAAAGTGTTCTTTCAGAATTCCTCCAAATTGCTCACGCAAATCCTCTTTCACTTTCACTTAAAAACGTCTTTGAAGAGTTAGACGTTGACGGAGATGGATACATAACCAGGTGAGCAACCTCCTTCACAGTCCTTTACAATATACATGAAATGCAGTTTTGCATAATTAAATTTTTTGTCCAGATCTGAATTGCGTACTGCTTTTCAACGAATGGGTCATTCACTTTCTGATCAAGACATTAAGGCTATTTACAAACATGTTGATGCTAATAACGATGGAAAAATCAACTTCCAAGGTATGTGCTTGTCAGATTATGGATTTACTTTGAACGCAACTCTTTCCGTGCTCTGTTCTGATATTGAGATCAAAACTTCAAGCGAAAGAGTTCATTCCAAGCTAACATACTGAAGCGACATTTTTTGAAAAGGCTTTCAAACTATAACAAAACTCTTTTATGAACCCTAGCACATTATGTTAGCGTTCACTGTGAATTTTATGAGACTGGGAATTTAGAAGAAACAGAGACAACGTTATACCATAATGTACTTGAAGTCATCCTCGTTTGATGGTTCATTTTGTGTGATTGCACTACTTTCCGAAATCAGTGCAAGGATGGTATAGTCACTGTTTCCGGCTGGCTT